GGGGGGGGGGGGGGGGGGGGGGGGGGGGGCGGCGAGAGAGAGAGAGAGAGAGAGAGCGAGAGAGAGCGAGAGAGCGAACGAGAAAGAGATTACGAGAGCACGCTTGATGAGGGCGACCGGTCCGGGGGTGCAGCAAACAGAAGGGCAAATATGGTTGAGGAGGGGGGGTGTGAGAAGGGTGCGTGTGTGCGTGTGCGCGAGAGTGTGGGTGCGTGTGCGTGTGCGTGAATGGAAGGCGGGCAGCAGACAGGCAGAAGTTGGCTGCGAGCTCCGTCTTGCCAGGCACCGCCTACGCACTTTGCGCGCGCGCACGTCTCGAGGGAAAGAGCGCCCCCGGCCTGGCAACGGCGCATTGGCTCGCTTGTGCCGCGTAGACCCCCCCCGTTCCGACGCTCGCCCTCCCGCATCGACTCCCACCCTCGCTGCTACTATTAATTGCTGCATACTTTACCGTCTGACCTCACCCCCCCCCGAGTCTGCTGCACAACAACAACAACAATAACAACAACAGCAGCAACCTCCACGCCGGCCGCTGTGGCTTTCCGCCCACACGCATGCATACTTGCACACCCCAGCACTGATGCCGCTTCCGCTGCCGCCTCAGCACCGACGTGTGTGGGCGTGCCAAGCTTTTGCATGCATGGACAGCCAGCCCACTCCCAGCGAGGCCATTGGGCAGCACACGCGCACCATCACCATGACGAATAGCACTTGACGCATGTCTGCCCGCGGCTATCCTGCGTACCAGCGGTGCAGTCATATTCGTCATAGTGGAGCCCTATAGGGCGACACAGGGAGGGGGGGGGACACACGTGAAGTAGCGGTATACATGTACACACACGTACAAGCACGCATCAAAAGCAAGACATGTGTCAGGAGCACGAGATGCCGCCACAAGCAACAGGTACAGCAGAGCCATCACCATTCCGCGCCGTGTACAAATGCAACACTGTCCAATGGCTTCAAAACACAAAGGGAAAAAAAAAGAAGCGCCGACAATGCACCATGGCCTGCTCACCACATCTTCACCGTCCGTCCGTCTACATACTGCATACATATACACCCCCCCACGTCTTTACATGCGCCCCATGGCCCGCGGGTTCTCTGCTTCTTGCTTCCGCCAGTCCCGCATCTCCTTGGTCCCCAGGCTGCCCAGCCCTCCTTCTCCTCGTCTTTCCCATCCGCCCAGTCGCACTACCAGCCCTGTTGCGTTGTCGGCGCCCTCGCTGCCCGTCGATGTTTCAACGGCGAAGCTGACCAGGTCTCGTGCCGCCTGCTCGGGCGTCTTTGCTTCCTTGACAATGTCTACAATCTCTTGATCCGACAGGTGGCCCGACACGCCATCTGAGCAGAGCACGAGAAACGAGTACTCGGCCGGCCCAAGTTCAATCCGCCGAATCTCCGGCTCAGCCGATACTCCGACTCGTTTCGACGCCATGTCGCCAAAGGACCGCGTGTTGGCAAGCCCGGACATGCGCTCCTCGCCAAACGAGTCAGTCACAAACGATGCTGCAAATCGTCGCAGGCGCGTGGCTTCTTCGGGCAGCGAGGGATGGTGATTCGACGTCAGCGGCACCGCTTGTCCGGTGGCCGTGTTGCACAGCAGGATTCGCGTGTCTCCAACGTGTGCCGTGACGAGCGACGACGGCGACGACGGATGCCAAAAGGGCGATGGCGTAGGCGTAGAAATGAGGGCCACGCTGCACGTGCTGCCGCCCTTGAATCGGGTTTCGCCTCCAATGTGCTTTGTCGTGCGTGACGGGTGCCCCAGGATATCGTCGTCGTTGAGTGCCTTGTCTGCGCGAACGGGGTCTTCCTCCTTCTTGCCCACCTGTGCTGCAACAAAGTCATAGTCGGCCTTGAGGAACGCGTACTCGAGCACCGTCTCGATTCCAATGCCTTGTTGCACATGGCCGCCTGTACGTGATGCCCCCATGTGCTGCTTCTGCACCACCTCCTTCTCCGCAGGGTGGCCCTGTCCGCCTGCCGACACGGAAAAGTACTCTGGCTTGAAGCGTCGAAAGTAGCCGCCAACCAGCTCTTTCCACTGCTTGACCAGCTGCTGCTCCAGCTCCTCGGCCTTGCGTATGCTGTCGGACTGTGCCATGGACGGCGCCCCGGGCATGGCTGTCTGCGTAGACTTGGACCCCGCCGTGGGCAGCTCGCCCTTGGTGCCGGGCTGTGGTGGCTTCATCGCCTGTGTGCCAGGCGGCGTGTGTGTCTCAATGGCGTCCAGACTCTCCTTGTCCCTCTGCCGCTGGTCGCTAGAGGAGGCCTCGCCCCTGGCCTTGGGGCCGCCGGCATGTGTATCGCATCCATGGCTCGCCAGGCTGCTCTTGAGCTCAAACTGCTGCGTCGCCTTTTCCAGATAGTCGTGGAGGTGCTCGCGCAGGAAGCCCGAGCACTCTGCGCCGCCGTGGCCGTCGAAGACGCCAAAGTAAAAGACCTGGGGATCGCCGCTGGCGCCCACTTCGGGCGTGACTTGGCTGTCGTTGCGGCCGTGTTCCTTGCGGGTCAGCGAGACGGGCCTCCGCTTGGCGAATGCGGGCACGTCGATGGTGCCGGCCTGGAAGGCATCCTCGTTGTAGGGCCGCGTGCCTCGCGACAGCGTCACGCCAAAGTGGTGCTTTGCACTCTTGAGCGGTATGCGCACGACCGTCATGTCGCGCGACGGGCCCAGGACGGCCGCGGGCAGGCGGCTCGACTGGTCGCCATGGTACGGCGTGCTCTTGTCGCGCGGGAGGCGGTGGTGCAGCGCGGGCTGGGCTCGCGAGTCGGGATGCAGCGACGTCGACGGCAGATGGGTTATGAAGTAGTCGTGGAAGCGGCGGGCGGGCGGGCGCTGGCAAGCAGCGGCCGGCCGTGCAGCGGCTCGGGAGAGGTGGAGAATCGATGTCCACATGTCGTCTCTTGCTGCCAAGGACGCATGGCGTGCGAAGTTCTGGCGGGTGGTTATGCCATGGCTGCGGTGCTGGGGGATAATCAATTCCAAGCCTCAAAAGCTCGCCATGGTCCCCGTTGTTGCTGGGGGCCCCCGCTACGTCATCTCATTGGACCAGGCGCCCGGGTGATGCAATTCGTCTCCTAGCTTCGGCTGCACAACGACGGGCGCACCATCATGCAGGCCGCTGGTGAATTCCTAGCCAGCCTGGGCCCCCCGTGATCAAGTGCCTCAGAGCTCGTGCATTGCAATCGTGGCACTACTAGGTCTGTAACAACCGTGTGTATGACTAGTGTATGCACCATTAAATATTCAGGAAGCTATGTGTCAAGAAGACAGATCCTCTGGGACTGTTCCAAGCATTCTCGTCACCCCCTGTTATGTACACTTGCCGCTGTCTCGTGCATGCCATGCCATATACATGTCTTCGCTTCTCAAACCATCTTACCATCAGTGCGCGGGCTCATGCACCCATTGACCAGCGTCATGCGTTTCGTATTCGCCGACACCATGAACATTGGGCTCCATGCGTCTTCGTCTTCGTCGCGGCTGACGCTGTGCGTAGCTCTCTTCCTGTCCATTCGAGAGACTTCCTGCATCATGGACGGGTGGCTCTTCAGTGATATGGCGTCAGATGGTCGGCCCGACGTCTTGAGCGATAGCTTGCGAGGCAGCGACATGGAAGAAGCTCTGCCGCGGACCTCGGACATGACCTGGCGGAGAAGAGGCCGCAAGATGGCGATGGACGCGGCAATGATTCCTGTTCCGGGCTCGGCAGTGGCCCAGATGGTGGCCTTTACTGATTGCTCTGTCGTGGTGTTATCATGCTGATTCCAAAAATCATATTCGAGGACCTCACCATTCAATGAGCTGAGCGTAGTCATGTCCAATCCTCTCAGGTACACCATCCGGAGAACCGCGCTGATGCTGCCTACAGCGCCCAAGCCCATGACGATGCTGACACTGATCTTACTTCGGCGATCCAGATCGCTGTCCACCAAGACACTGATGGGAATCAAGACAAACGTCCAGTCTGCGAGGATATTAATGATGCCGTAGATGTAGCCCGCAGTCAGGTGAATGGCCTCTGGCAAGCATTGGTCCGCCGTGCTTGCATAGAGATTGTCGGCAATGTGTGCAGGGTTGCCGCATTGAAAGAGGGCCACGAAGAAATAGAGAAGACCATATACTACGCCTATGGTGAGAATGGCATAGAAGAGGAGCCTCTGCCATCTCTTAGTCAGGACCCGCAGGAAGAACAGTCCCAGCGAAACTTTGAGAAAGGTCGTGGTGAGAATATAAAAGACCTCTGAGAGTTGCACAAACTGGGCAATGTTGTCAGCTTCCAAGACTGTAAGTTGAGTTCCAGGTAGACTTACAATTAGAGTGATGCGGATACTGTCTGCATCAAAGAACCGCCCACTCTCCGTCCGATCGCGGATTGCAAGAAGGAAGGAGCAGTAACAGGTGAAGAGCAGCAGCGTCGTCACCATGGCAGCATCATCCCAACCAGGAGACCTTGTAATTCGATAGCGGGCCCATAGCCGCAGAGCCACGGAGATGTAGCTGAGAGCAAGAAGCGTTATTATAAGGTAAAAAGTGACTGAGCCGAGGAACTCGAGCTCCTCATCATGCTTTCGGAGGTGCATGATTCAAGGCCGAAGCAAACATTTACGAATAAACACAAAAAAAGAAGATGGATGGCCAGAGTTTGCAAGAGTGTTTAAAGCCCCCGGAGCCATGCAATGGCGGGAAAAAAAAGGACGAAGCGCGCGAGGGAACCAGGAAAAGCTAATAGCAGGCTCCCCAGAAACTCTGGGTGGAAAAGCGCCCACATGTGGTTATGAGCATCACAACCCTGGCCATGCTGGCACCCGGTAGCTAGGGGATCCGCGCAAACCTTATCGCGACAGTAGTATGTGGGCGGAGGATTTCCTGATCCCCTGTGCGGACTGCCATTGGCTCGTTGGCGGCGTGGTAACTCGAAATGTTTTGTCATGGCCACCATATCCTGCACCGAGCAGTCAAGTTGTTTTGTGTCGTTCAATCTGGCACAGGAATGTGTTGTTTCACCACGTCGTTCGTCGGCAGTTCAGCCATCACACCGTGTTAGGACTGATGGATAGAGCCTCCTAGTGGGGCTTGGCGTGTACATACTGTCAAAGAAGCGTAAGTATTTGCAAACCATTTTGGAGCCGTACAAACATAGTCATCGAGTTTGAGCGCCTGCTACGAACATCTTGGAAGCCAAAACTGTTTGGAATCATTCTGCACGGGGCCGCACCCTCCCCCCCCCCTCGCCCGTAGCCTTCCCCTTGGTATCATCCAGTGTCCGTCAGAAACATGCACTGCCTGAGACGGCGGGGGGACTTCCAGTCCTGATTTGGAAGCCTTGGACGCTGTCCCGAAAAAGGCTTGTGATTTCAGTAATACTTCGGCCGAGTTGCCTGTTGAAGGATTCCTTTACACCTACGCCCAGGAGGGATCACGCCATTGTCTCTAATTCCAGATGTGCAGCACACGCAATGGCCCAGGCGTGGTGACGTTTGGTTAAACACGTTGCGTTTGATCGTTGAGCACGAGGTACGTTTCATGGGCATCACCTGCAGCCCGGGAACATGCCGAACCGGATCCTAAGCATGGATTTCGTGTTTGACCGTTGGAGCACGCAAGAGATACCAAGACCAGAATCCTTTGGGGCGGGTTGACCAGAGAGGCACGTGGTGTGCAGGCCAATGCGCCAAGGTTGAAGCGGGTCCGTCGTGGTTCGGCCGCTCGGTCAAACTAATGTTCCGTTGATAGCGTCTGCGCACTATTTTCTTTGTCCCCCCAAGCTCCAACTCAACCTTCACAACTCCTCGAGTCGCCAGCAGCACTCGCAGGCGCGCAGGTCCGCTCCCAAGACGTCATGTGCACGATATGAGCGCAATGCTCACGTCGTCGTCTTCTGAGACTGGGACGTGTCGCTTGCGCTGTGCGACCTCGACACGACGAGTCGCTGAAGCAGGTCAACGGCATTAACCTCACCCGTCTAGCTTGGCTCTTCCAGCAACCTTTCCTGGTAAGTAAAAGACAGCCTCCTCGCTCTCGTCGAATGATGAAAAAAAGACAAAATTCACAGACCTGTTCGTAACAATAGTGTCGAAAAATTTGCTTAACATGTTCTGATTTCGTACAATTGCTCTTTACTCTGTCGTCTTAGTCATGCAAGCTCAGCAGCTAACAGCAAGCAGGTAAAATTATCTTTGACTCGAGCCCTCTTGCAGCTGCCAATTGATGGCCTTGACGCTTACTTTGTTACGTCTTGTAGACGCTGGATATACAATGATAAAAGAGATGTAGACAATGCTGGGTTAAGGCCGGCTTTGTACACTTAGCACAATGACATGTATACCTGACCACACCTTTGCTCTTTGTCCAATTGACATCTGTAACTGGCACGATGAAAGAACCATGTGAAGCCACATATATGTCCCAAGGGTGTATGTAGCGCTGTAAGTGCACTCTGTCACTTTTCTCCACGCATACCGAACATGCCTTTTAGTTTGGCGCGCAAATCTTCACTATCGCCCGAGATATCTCCCAAAACAGTGCCACATGCCCACCCCTTTGATGAATCCAATCAGCCAGCTCACGAATCTGAACCATCCAAGTCTGATGGTGCTCGCCAGCAGTCCCTCGCTTCTGAGACGGCTGCACAGTCACAAGCCAATGGTATACCGACCACTGCTCGGCAGCAGCGCAACGACTCTAAAGGCGTACTCGGCCTACCCAGCGAATTAATACCCAGCGAACTAATTGACCCACGTCTTTTGGATGAAACCTTCGATCTAGCCGCCTTCGTTACTAACGAGCCTTGCTCGACCAATGCCTTTGGGAGCACCTCAACAGCCGACTTTGGCCTTGCAGCAACAGCAGCAACAGCAGCAACAGCAGCAACAGCCACAACAGACAGCAGCAACCCCGATGCTAATGCATTCCAGTATACGAATGATTTTCTGACCGACGGCGGATCTGGCTTCTTGGATCTGTTGATGCCCGTGAAGCCAGCGCCAGACGAGTATTTCAGCACCTCGGACGCGATTAATCCAGATTACAGTTTGAATCTCGCACCGGCTGCCGTGCACGAGCCGAGGGATTTGCTATTTGATAGCTCGAATCTGCTTGATCCCGCATTGCTTGACTACGGGTACGATGGTGGTAATTGGATGTACCCTGCTGCTGCGTCTTCTTTGCACATGCCGCCGCAGCAACCGCTGCCGCTGTCGCTGTTTGATGGCACGACACCGGGGCTCTCGGCGGTGCCCGGCGGCATGGCTCCTTTGATACCGGATCTGTCGCTGTACCCCGGTGTAGGCCAGACGCAGTACCCTGATCCGTTCAACCTGGCGTATCCGCCTGATCCTTACTATCCCTTTACGCAACAGCCGCAGTATCGTACTGGGTATGCGTCTGTGCCGGTCGAGCAGCACGATGGAGCAGGGCAGGTTGGCAGTGTACCGGAATCCGGGCCTCGACGGCGGACGCGCGAGAGCGAGGACGTGGCTGTGCAGGCGGCGCAGAAGCAGAAGCGGTCGCAATGGGAAACGGATTCCGAAGATGATGCGCGGATTCGGAAGCGGTATCGAGGGACTCGGGCTGCCGACTTGAGCGCATCACCTGCCCCTTCTCGACAGCACTCGCTGACGTCCGATGACGGGTCTGTGAGCAAGCCCGTTCGAACCACTGTTGTGAAGCCCGGCCAAAAGCCCAGGAAGTGCGAAGACAAGCCCTGGGTTCGCATCAACAACACCACTAAAGGCGAGACGACGCGCACAGCTCGCATCAACCAGCAAGCAGAAGAAGGACGCAAGTACCGGGTCAAGGATCTGCCCTTTGGGGACTGGGAATCAAGGCACTATGCGTTTGACTATAGCCACAATAACGACATGCACGAGTTCAGGAAGCGCACCATGTCTGCGCGCCAGATTCATGAGTACATCACGCAGTATCCTGGCGATAATCTGCGTATCTGGATCCAGCCCGTAGCCTCTGATTCCGCGCGGCGCTACGCCTCGGCCTCGCACAGCCACTGCCGGTTTGAAAAGTGCCCGATGCGCAAGTACACGGGCAAGGGCACGGCAGAAGTGGGAAACTACCGCGTGGCCTTTGACGAAAAGCACAAGATATACGGCGCCGGCGTCGTGGATCCGTACGATTGTGTCGGGTATGCCCATCTCTACTGCATGGAGCGGTTCCTCGACTTTGCGTACATTTGCCAGATAGCCGATGTGCGGGTTGACCAGCGGGTGAGCATGGAAAAGGAACCCAAGGGGCACTTTGCGTCTGCGTTTGGGTCCAAGCATCATCACGAGGCGGCGCTGGCGAAGAAGTTCATTGATGCGGCGAGAAAGGGGCGGCTGCGCGAGACGCACGAGTTCGCCGAGTATCCCGTTCACGACGAGTATGCACGAGGGGCCCCGAAACCGCATGAGCGCACGCTGATATACGCACTATACGGAATGAACATTAAACATCGGGCCAAGTCGCAGATGAAGCAGTTTATCCTGCAGCGCAAGATCCGGCCGGGCTCGTTCCCCGTGCACAGAGGCGATATGGAAGTGAAGCTGGTGGACAAGAAGATTGAGCGGTTACCGGCGTTTAAAGAGTTCATGAAGGAGGGATCGAAGAAGGACTTTGATTATGCGGCATACTATGACGAGTTTCATCCGGAGATCAAGCAGCGGATTGCAGAGTGCGTGGTTCTGAGGGAGCAGTTCATTGCCGAAGATGAGATGGGCGTGACGCCTAAGCGTCCGCGAGCACGTCGACGCCAGTCTCTTGACGACTCGGGAGAGAGGGTTACAACTCGCAAGCAAAAGAAGAAGAAGAAGTATATACTCGTGGATAGCGACTCCTCTGAAGACGAGGCTCCTGCGCACAAACACCGATCAAAAAAGGGAAGGGTAGTTTCCCAAGACGATTCCGACGACGATGAGTTCGAAGAAATTGGCAGCCAGGCTCTTTCAATGCCGCAATCTCGCGCTTCTCGTCGTAGTCTCCGCCAGAAACCGCGAATAGACTACACGGAGCCCCAAGACGTGCTGTGGGATATCAGCGAGGAGGCACCTCAGACAAGCGATGCACCAGGATATCAACCCGCAGCTCGCTATGCCGACGCACGCACAGCCAGCTGCAGCCATCTCTTTCCCGAAAACAACGACAAGGCATGGGACAAGGTTGATCTGAGCAGCGTGGCGGAAGACAGCGCGGCACCGTCTTTGACTCCAGCGGAAATCGATGCACTTGTCACTGCAGCGCACCGGCGCAAGTCGAGTACGCTGAGTAACGGGCCGTGGGTGTCGGCCTGTAGGTCGCCACGGTCCAGACGTGCTTCTGTGCGCAGAGCGAGTTTCAACGTGCAGCCTGTGTCTTCGAGCAAGGAATTCAGGTTGAACGACCCACCGTCGCGTGTTGCTGGCGGGCGGGATGGGAATGTGTAGGCGTAGGGGGGTCTTGTGATTTATTTAGTATCGGTGAGGAGCTAGGAAGGGTCCATGGGAGGTTTAGATGCAGACGAGAGGTGGTGTGTTTGGTGTAGACAGGTTGCATTGCGAAGGTGTTTGAAGCGGTCGTATGTATGTATGCTTGGATATTGAGTTGATATTGAGTGAGTCAATTCCCGCAATCAAGTCTTTATGCCACTGTGATTGTGTGGAGTGAATGCCAAGGCCCATTCGTCTCGGGATGTTTGCAGAGCCAGCGTGGTGGTTTAGGTTATATTGGCTTGTGCACACAGGCCGGTGGGCGGGGCGGCTGATTGCGTGGCGTGCCTGTGAGTTTGGCGGATCGTGTGTGGTGGCGCGGGACAGCGCAACGGGCCGGAGGATTGCCATTGCTAGGACGGACGCTGGAAGCCTAATTGCTGTGCTAGTTTAGGAGCGCCTGGCTATCGCGGAGGCGTTTGTGCCAACGGCGGTTTGGGCGGTAGAGGAACCGTCGTGGTTCGGGCGTGTAGCGGGTGGGGCGTGGTGCAGTCTTGGAGGCTTGGGGAGCCGCCGTTCATTCAGCAGTGGTAGTGCGCCGGGAGGATAGTGATGGAATGATATCGAAGACGGACGAGACGACACTTGTTGCCACCGGCCGTGGTTGGTGGAGCTCGGCTATCGTGCATGAGCTTCACCGTATCGGCGACGTACTGTATGTCTAAGTATGTGTATGTAGAGACGGCATGGCGGCGCCGTTGAGTGTGTGTAGGGCCACGTCCTGCACTGATTGTAGACAGGCACAGGCGCCATGGCGATGGTCATGGCGAGGCGGGGAGAGGGCGGGGAGGCATGGGGAGCCCGAAATAGCAAAGTGAAGGAGAGACGGCGAGGCGAGGCGATTGGGCGTGTGTGGGTGCATGACGAGGTGAGGCAGAAGGGATGCCAGCCCGGCCAACTGGAGAGGCACAGTCGCGGCCACTCAACAACCGCCGTCGCGCCCATTTTCTTCTGCTGCCGCCCTTGACCAAGCGCAAGTCGTCGTCAATGCCCATCCTTGCCTCCTAGCCTCCACCCTCTCTCTCTCTTTCACTCTCTCTCTCTCACTCACAAGCGCGCAGTATATGTACTATCAGGACCCCCGCCGCCCCTCGCACTCCCATCTCGCCATACCGGTGCCTCGCTCGCTTACATCACGGCGCCCTTGATTCACCCCCAAGCCTCCCCGAGCATCTCCAAGCCTCCCCCCGCCTCGCCCACCCGCAAGGCTATCGTCGTGCCTGGCCGAAGATGGCGTCGCGCAATTCAACTCCATCGCGATCGCGCTCGTCGTCCAACAGCAGCTCCCTGTCGGACGCGACCATGATGGATGCTCCCCCCCACCCGCACTCGCCCAGCCGCCCAGCGCGCCTCCGCAACCCCTCGCATGGCGCCGCCCTGCCCACGCCCACGCCCACGGCACCGCTCATGCACGCAACCAGCGCCCGGCCCGACCCCTCCTTTTCGCTGCTGCTGTCGCTGCCCCGAGAGCTGCGCGACCGCATCTATGCCTATGCCCTCGTATCCAAGGCGCCCTTCTGGTGGCCCGGCACCTCGCCCCAGTCGCCCCCCACCGACCGCCGCAATGCCGGCGTCGCCCTGCTGCGCACCAGCAAGCGCGTCTACAACGAGGCCGTCGACATCCTCTACGCCCACAACAAGTTCCTCTTCACCCACCCGAGCGACTGCAACATCTTCCGCGTCGTCGCCGCCCCCGCCTCGCTCAACATCACCAGCCTCTACTTCCGCATCAAGGAAAAGGACCTCAAGCTGTGGACCGCCTATCTCGGCAGCAAGCATGACGACAGGAGCCTCAAGAGCGATTTCCCCAAGCTGAAGAACCTCTGGGTCTTTCTCAAGTGCGGAGCAATGGGCCTGCCAGTCGCCTTTGCCGCACTGCAGCCTGGGCCTGCTGCTGCTGCTGCTGCTCCCCCTCCCATCGGACATCACCTGCACGCCCTTCACCACCAAATCCAAATGGCCCAGGGCGCCAACAATGCTGGCGCCCAAGCCGCAGCCGCAGGAGGCGCCCATGCTCATCCGGGAGGGAACCAGCTTCCACCTCCCCCTCCGCCAGCGCCAGCAATGCCTTTCTTGCAGTTTGCTCAAGGGGCTTTGGGACTAGGCGCCCATCACGGACAGCACCACCACCACCACCCGCAAGTGACTCCCCACTTCTTGACACCCCAACACCCCCACGCCCACATGCACCCACAAACCAATCCCCCTCACCCGCCACTCTTTCATGCCGTACATCACTTTGGGTCAGCCCCTGATCCACAAGCCTTGTCGGCGCTGCCCCCCACACACTCACACGAGACACACGCGGTATACGCTGCTTTTCTGCGCTTTGAGCGAGAGCTGGGCGTTGAGTCGCTTTGCTTGAACCTGAGCGATGTCCTTCGGCCCTCGCCGTCTTCGGCTCTAGACCTTGAATCGTCAGCCAGCAGCAGCGGTTCAACAGGAGCAGAGCGCTTTGCCGGCCCCTTTCTCACCAAGCCCCAGACCGAGGCCAGGATTATATGTATCCTGCGCATTCCACGACCAGATTTGGAGCGCCTGGTTGCGCTCTACCCGGACGAGTTGAGCGTTGACGCTAGGACTCAGGACGCCAGGACGCGGTTCAGGAAACTGCATGGTCTGGACGTGAGTTTGGAGTTGAATGGATACCCTGCTTTAGACCATGACCACGAAGAGAGGGACTAGGCCGACATGGCTGTGATGAGATGAGGTCTTTGCGATACACATTCTGTAGATGTTTTTTTTGGTCTAATTCAAGATACCCGAGACTGCGTGGATATTCTAACCATGTTTGATTCAGCTTCACCTGCGCTTCCTCACTCACCTCACGTTCCCTCTGACGTTCTGTTTGCAGTGCGCTATAGATTTTTCTTTGAGATGTGAACTTGATCTTACCCATACTGCGCTCTATACAACCATGCACCACACCAGCCAAATGCCGCCTCTATCCAACATCGACCCCGACCTCTACGAGCCGGACAACATCAACCACTTTCTTGACTTGTTCACTATACCCAGCATCTACCCATGTTCCACTACCACAAACTCCCACGGCCTTACCCAACTCAGTCCCTTCCACCTCCTCACCTGCGGCCACATGGTTGTCGTGAGCGCCGCAGACCGCCGCTGCGCACCCAACTGCTATCACGCCGGGTCCGCAGCCCCGGTCCACGCCACCAGCAAGATGCCAGAGCCAGCCGGGTACAAGCATACTGATACGTACGTATTTCATGAAGATATCTTACCATGCTAACCTACCACCAGCACGTCCTTCACCCCGCCTATTACAACCACAATCGCAACTACAATCACAACAACAATACGCCCGCCCTCCCCCCTCCACTGTACTATCTGCACCGGAATCCCCCTCCCCCACTACACCACCCTGAAACCCGCTCTCACGCCCCTTCTACGCCCCTGCGCCCCGCTATCACGGCCACTGCTAGCCTCGACTCTGCACCTTGCATTGCACACGGTTGCTGCCATGCTAGCGCCCGTGTTCTCCGAAAGGGGTTGTGTCCCGCATGATTTGACCTGTGGACATAGGGTTTGGTGCTGTGTAAGGAGGGGCTGCGGTGGGAATTGCCATGTGAGCTGTGTGGCTGGGGGTATGCAGGAAGGAGAGGGAGCGTGGAGCGTGTGTGGACCGAGATGGGGGGCGGCGATTGTGTGTGGTGAGTGTGTTTTTCGCGCTGAGAGCGTGTGTAGGCGGTGGGATGGGGTGTGAGCCGTTCCGTTTAAGATTTGTGATGGGTTGGGATGGGTTCAGAGTGTATGGAGTGGGGGAGTGAGGTTGAAGTGAAGGCGACATGTGTGCTGGATTCGTGCACTGCAATGGATACAATACAATTGAATGATACCGCTTTTGCCATTTCACAATGCCAAATGTGTAGACTGCATCGGTTTCTGCAGTAATTCATTTACTATAGCACGGTTTGGGCATCGAGTCTTGAACAATCTGAGAGCAATGTAGGTAGAGTCAACAGCCTCATGTACCAATAGCCTGGCCCGCCCGCCACTACGATTCCTTCACATTCACTTCGACATGGAGTGAAGGGTCTAACAGCTCTCCCGCTCTCACCTACAAAAGGACCAGATTTTGACGCCGTAGTCGCACACTGTTTCAAGACACAACTACAACTCAGCCCTGAATCAACACGATAACTACACGATGCCAAGAGAACGGACCAGCACATCTTGGACCGCGTCAAAAGACCTAGTCGGAAACAGGCTCTCGCCATCACTCACACCGACGTCTGGAGCGGCAGAAAGCACGTCGCATCTACCACCACTGAGGCTCAAGCTCAAGCTCAACAACTACAACAACAAGCGAGCAAGTACTACTCCACAGCCCGGCGCACCAAGCAGCCAGGATGTGGACTATGAAGCCGATATCCCGGAATATGCTGCTGCGGCACCGCTGCCCGTCACGACGAGAACAGGGCGGACGGTTCACAGACGGCGGCATGTGGATGAGGTCCAGGGCAGTGATTACGAGGATATGATGGGCATGGGGTCCGATGGCCTGGGAGACGAGGAGCGTAAGTACCAGTCGAGTGATACTCATGCACGAGCATACCCCTCTCGCGTGCATCCCTCCAAGTAAACAACTTACCAACAAAAAGGCACCTTAGCACAAGACCACAACCGCTCGTTCACCACGCACGCACGAACAAGCCACCAGCTCAAAACACGCTGGTCCTTCTTATCCCCCGCAGCCAAAAACACCAACAACCACCAAGCCCGTTCTTGCACCCCCGCCACGGACCCCCTCGGCTTCAGCCCTACCACCGACATGTACGCGATCCTCAACGCGCTGAAAAGCACATGCAGAATCCACGTTGATCTACCTTCTCTCGGCGATGCCGCGGCCCCGGATTCCATACGGCGCTACTCGGCGACCACGCTTACCCATCTGTACTTGACGTGCTACCAGCAGCAGCTCTGGGACCTCTGCGACGTGGTAACCGACACGTGGATCCGGGCGTTCCACGCGCGGCGCCACGCAGCGTCTCAGATGCAGAAGGGGAGTGTGGCGGCGTGGCGGCGCAACAGGGCGCTAGAACGACTGCGGCGCAGTGCACTTGCGGCGCAGCGTCGAGGCGAGGCGGTGCCTGCAGAGTACGACGTGCATGCGCCCGTGTACGCTCTCGACGTGTCTGATCCCGAGCTGGAGGCGAGCGTGACCGACACCAATGTCGGGCTGCTGAATACCCTGTACGCGCACACGAGGGCGCCGTGCGGCGCGAGACTCATGTGGGCGGATGCGCTGGCGCTAGGCGGCGATAGGACCGACGAGGTGCTGGAGCGGGCGGAGAAGAGGGGCGAGAAGCTGAATAGGGATTTGGTGTTTGATACCATGCAGAGTACGTTGAGGCTGGTGAGGAGGAAGAGGACGCTGAAGATTGAGGAAGCGGCCGAGGGCGCGTGGTGTGCACGGTATCATGAGCATGGGAGGTGGGGTATGCAATGTTACCGGGAGAGGGCGTCGAAGCAGGAAACGGGTGGTGAGGGGGAAGACATGATGGACGTGGAAATGGAGGAAGGGAGAGCTGCGGGCAAGAGTGTTAGGTTTGGAGATGAGGATGGGTATGATTCGGAAGAGGAGTAGTGGATAGGCGTTGGATAGGCTGGATTGGTTGGATTGGCTGGATTGCTGATGGGTTCTGGATAAGCGACATGTCGGAAAAGCACAGTGGGTTGACTTTGTCTTGGGAAAATTTCCAGCTCGTGGATCCTCGATTGTGCATGGAGATCTCCCATGCGTTTCTTTTTGTGTGGTTTGCCCCACGCGTCTCCTCTTTAACGCCCGTTTGAGTTGCTGAGCATTTGGCCGGCGATCTGTGCGCGCGGAAAAGTATCCGAGCCATGATAGCGACGCCTTGCCTGCGAGGATATATATAATCAAAGGCCAAGACCGACTTTTAGTAAAGCCTATCGCGGATTGAATCCGCCGTCAGACCGGACTGATGGTATGTTAGGCTTTTCTTGGCCTCCGCTACTCGTCCTGTCTGTCGTCTAGCTCCTATCCGACCTGGGAAACACTGAAGCGCCATGCATAACCCCAGCTTACAAAGATGCCGATGACTATCAGCTCCCACTCACATGGCCAAGGCCTTTTACCGCCAAATTTCTCCGTCTGCCGATTTGCCGTTGGCCCCAATATCCCGCGCGAGCTCGCTCCAATCCCACACACGAGATGCCCCACGACAAGGCGTTGGTCAGCACGCTCACTCCAAGAACAGACGCCCAGCAAGACCTTCCGGCATCCCTCTTCCGATTATGGCGTGATGACAGCAGTCTGGTGCTTCTTGGAAGCTGGTACCCCCTGGACTTGGCGGCAGTCGTATCGTGACCAGAGCAAAGGAATTATTTGGAGGCCCACAAAAATCTACCGGGGCGTCTGCTCCCGCCAACCTCAGTTGAGCCGCAACTGCAGGAGCTGGAGTGCTGCCGATTCCAGACAGAGGACAATTCCTGGAAGCACAACAGACAACAGACGAACTTGAAGCAGCGATCATCTGAGGACAAGCCTTGTGGGCAGCGCATCATTTCTCCTTGGTGGTGCTTCAGGCTCTTAGTGTACGCATGATGAGCTTGGTTTTCGCCAGGCTCCATTTTGCCGCCTCGTGGAGCTTGAAGCCAGAGCCAAGGGCTTGGGGCCACGGCGATAAGCCGGTGGAGCCTCGAGCAGAAGACAGCGGGCGTCCTTCTCGATTCATCTCGGGCCATGTGCTGCCCTGCATGGAGAGGGGCGAAGCGTGGGGGAGAAAAGTTCGTCGCGTGGGTTTTGGCGAACTTTACCCAGGTGGCCAGGGCCAACGGTCCAGCCAGCAGGCTTGATATTGCCAAGATGCTTGTGCGGGCAGACCTAGCGAGTCATCGTCAATTGCCATTAGCAAGCACAAATGCTATCCTTTTGCTGGCAGCACACCGTCCCGGGCGACCCTCGCAGACTACATGGACCAGGACCAGGACCAGGACCGGGGCCAGGACCGGGAAGAACAGGAAGTGTGCCTCTCAGCAAGAGCAAAGGGCGTTCGAGAAGCGCATGGGAGCAAGAAGGGTTGGACGCAGGTGTAGGGGCGGGATACCACTTGCAGAAGCCGAGCAGTCTAGCGTAGCCGACGGACATGGAGCCGCATCGCCCTGGGGAGCAGAGCAGACGGCCGGCGTCGGAATGGGCTGGCGAGTGCGGCCAGAAGCGCCGGTGTTTTGGCCGACACACGTTCTTCGGTGCGTTGTTGTGCCGCCGATGGGGCTCGACACGAGGCAGCGTCTGGATGGTGTATGGGCTGATGTGTGGCGGACAGTTTGCGTGCCATGTTGAGCCAATAGTCTGCGAGGGCGCGGCGGCTGCTGCCCGGTCGCTACCGATGGAAGACGACAACAAGGTTTGTTTCCGGCCGGATGTGAGCATCCACGGCGTCAGAGCGAGTGTGCGCGCGCGTGTGCGTGTGTGTGGGCGGGTGAGTTTGGGGAATGATGCGGGGTTGGAGTTGTGGGCGCCAATGGCCGACTTGGGGGTTAGCGCGCGCCCAAGCCCCGACAAGACGCACCACCAAGCAAGCTTTTCTCCACCCAAGCCTTAGCCAACCTGTCCTCGCCCTCCTGCGCAATATGCAACCTGCGCATACGGGCGCCGCCTGAGGCCACTTCGCGGTAGTGACAAGACGATCCCGGCATCATTGCCACATGCAGCCTGGCTCAAAGCCCGCAAAGGCCGACGACGGGGGACGGCGGCCTATGGCACACTCGCAAATGGCAACCCAATACTGGGCAACTCAACCGGCATCTCGTCCAGCGGGGAGCGTCAACACGGGGAGCGGCTGGCCTGGTCAGCGCGGAGACCAGCTGCCGGGGCGTTTTCTGGGGTCTTTGGGGAATGGCGCGGTATGACAGTTGAGCGTACACACATGGCATCTCCGCATGGCACCCCCCCCCCCCGCCGTCGCTCAACATATAAAAGGCCTGCACATCGTCCGGCCTTGGGTCTGCACTGCCCCTCTTCCCTGCTGGACAGACTCGGGTTTTGCAGCTCAACAAGAAAGAAAGCACCCCTTTACACGAGCACCCCAAATCCTCGCCCAGCATGTGGAACCCATGGCGTGAGAACCTCAAGGAAACCCCCAAGGAGAGCCTTAATTGGCGTCTCTGGTATGGTGTCTTTGGTAAGAACGGCGTCTTTTGTCTCTAGAGTGCTGGCTAACGAATGGCAGTGTTTGGACTCATGGGCGCTGCCCGTGGTATTGATGAAGGTCTGATCGGTACAACAGCCGAGCTTGATCCCTTCCGCAGAAAGTTTGGACTGGACGACCCTCACAAGGACAAGCACGAGATTGCAGAGCTCTTGTCCAACATTACTTCCATGGTGCAGATGGGTTCCATCTTGGGAGCGCTCATCGCTTTCTTCATCACTGACAAGATTGGCCGCCTCTGGGCCACCCGCCAACTCTGTCTCATCTGGGTCATTGGCATCACCATCTTCCTCACCAGTTCTCTTACCGGATCTGTTGGCCAAATCTATGCCGGTCGATTCATTGCTGGTGTCGGAATCGGACAGACGACTGTCGTCGCTCCAACCTATCTTGCTGAGACGGCACCCCGGGCTATCCGAGGTCTCTGCGTCGGCGCCTTTGCTGGATCCGTCTACATTGGCATCATGCTTGCATACTTTGCATCCTGGGGCTCATCCATTCACATCTCGCCCAAGACCGACACTCAGTGGCTCGCCCCCAACAGCATGCACCTCATGTTTGCTGGTGTCATCTTCTTGCTATCTTGGTTTGCTCGCGAGAGTCCTCGCTGGCTGATCAAGGTCGGTCGCCATGAGGAGGCTCTGAAGAACCTGTCCATTCTCCGACAGCCCCCCGAGGACCACCCCTACGTCACTTCCGAGGTCATGGACATCAACGACCAGCTCAACCGTGAGCGTGAAGCTACCATGGGTACTTCATGGCTTGGGCCCGTCCGCGAGCTCTTCAGCAGCAAGGCCAACCTCTACCGTCTCCAGCTCTCTGTTATGTCCCAGTTGCTCTCGCAATGGTCCGGCGCCAACAGTATGTATCACCAAACGTGTTTCTATTCATCGCTAACACAACCAAGGCATCACCATCTACGCCCCTCAGTACTTTGCTATGATGGGCACCACGGGTCAGAGTGAGAAGCTCTTTGCCACTGCCATCTTTGGTGTTGTCAAGTTTGTCAGTTCCATGCTCTGCGCCTTCTTCCTCATCGACTTTATCGGCCGCAAACGCTCCCTCTCTGCCGGTATCACGCTACAACTCGTGTCCATGCTCTACATGGCCATTTTCCTGCTCCTCGACACAGACGTTGGCAAGAAGGGCGTGCACCAGAGCCCGAGCCAGAAGCATGCCGCCATGGGCGCCATCGTCATGGTCTACTTTTCAGGTTTCGGATGGGCCCTTGGTTGGAACTCGATCCAGTACCTCATCAACTCTGAAATCTACCCTCTGCGTCTCCGTGCGCTGGGTGGTTCCATTGCCATGACGTTCCACTTTGTCAACCAGTACGGAAACTCAAAGGCCGTGCCCCTCATGTTCATCTCCATGACACACGGCGGCACCATGCTCTTCTTCTCCTGCGTCACCGCCATCGGCCTCGCCTGGGTGTGGTTCTTCCTCCCAGAGACGTCTGGCAAGTCGCTCGAGTCGCTCGACGAGATGTTCAACCTGCCCTGGTACCTTATCGGTCGCAAGGGCGCCGAGCTTACCAAGGGCACGGGAGCCATGTCCGAGGTGTTGGACACCGCCGGCGAAAAAGCCACGGCGTACGAAATGGAGAATGCCGAGGTGGCCGAGTCGCACAACTACAGGGTCGAGCAGAAGGTCTAAAGCACCTTGCATTTTTCTAGCTAGCAGTTGGTTCTAGTCGGTCACAAGCGCACTTGCATGGTGTTGCACCACTAATGAATGAGATTACGAATGTAAATGGACGAATCGCTACCATATCACCTGTGGCGTACAATGTGATGTGCAATGTAGTATTGCGTCATTGTTTGTGAAACCGGCAGGTGATAGGAGCCGGTTCAAATTTGCGGCTATCTTTTAGAGTGACACCCAACTTCGATTCGTGTAAAAAGATAACATCGTAGTATTGCGTCATGCCGCGTCGGCGACGCCGGTGTGCGTCTAGCCTGGATGTACGCATCTGTCCACATGCCATGAACGCTCGTATTCTACTCGTATTATGCGTGGCTAACTGAATGAGGACGCCGAGGACTTGTGCTGGGACTGTCAGAGTATGAACAACATGGCAATAGATTGTTGTGTCAACTTGGTGAATGCAGTGATGGGGCAAAGATTGAAAAGTAAGAGAAGATGTCTTGAATTGAAACTCTGAAACGGAGTAACGTATGTGGCAAGCGAGCGCCGCAGGTAAGCGAGCGCCGCACCCCACCAAACCTGCGCACCTCTCCTATCTCAACGAACAATAGCTCAACGTAGCGCTACTCAATTAGCTTTAAATAAAGCAGATATTCAGCTTGCTATTTCTTCTATTAATCTCTATTAAACACA